AAAGGTATTAATAATATTAAAATAGTAGGGTAGAAAACTTGCAGTGCATTATCCAACATCCCAATTGATTGGGTGGATGTTTCCACCCATCCTCAATAAGCTTCTGTGCATTCTTTAGTAATACTTTATGTTCGACTTTGTGTGCATTATTTAAAAGCAACCACATAGGTTAAGTTGTCAGGGCTTTTTTCTTTTCATCTTTTCAAACATTTAAAGGAATGCATTTTCCTGTAAGGGTATTAGCTCTGTATTTGGATCTAAAATCATCAGTACTTCTTTTATCTCAGATGCTGCCAAATCTATCTATTAAATAACAACAGCCTTTATCCAAAGCCAAGAGCATATGCACAGTTAATTAAGCATGAAAACGTATATGGATTCCTCGACCAGGCAATCATGCTGGATTTTCTGTCCCCATCTCATTTTTTCCCCTTCTTCCTCAGAGTATCTTCCATACAAGTCACTGCAATACTTCTATCCTACTAGTGGAGAGTGGAAAGTGGAAAACCAGTTCCAGGGGACTTCCTAACCCACAAGGACATCTGCAATTTCATTGTTAATTGCTGTTGATCCTCAGGCAAACTCAGGATTCCTTCCAAGGTCAGGGAGGCCAATCTGCATTATTATTAAAGATTAAAGATTAATGCCTATTTACACACAGTCATATCTATGAATTTATTCCCTCAGATCAGGAAAGCTAATGAGTCTGTAGCTGATTAAAAAAAAACCCAAACTGTCTGCAATTTCTCTGTTATCAAGACCAGTATAATCTCCAGTCTTCACGTTAACAGCAAAAATCAAGCTGTATGTCAAAGCCTAGTGGATCTTCCATTTTCATTCAGACAAATATTCTTTGATAACTAAATTTACCCTTTTCACAGCTTATTTTATACTCAGTATTTAATGCAAAATTGACTTGGATATGTTTTCCTACTGTGTTTTGTTTTTTTTTTTAATTGTTAAAAATATTTCAAAGAATCAGAAAACATCTGGAGTTGGATGGGGCCCGCAGGATCAGAGACCAGCTCTCTGCTCCTTGCAGACCTATCACTAAACCATATGGCTAAGAGCATTCTCCAGGTGCTCCTTGAACTCTGACAGGCTCGGTGCTGTGACCACTTCCCTGGGAAGCCTATTCCAGGGACCAGCCGTCCCTATATTTACCTTACAGAAAGTGACTTGGCAAAAATGCAGCTTGTAATTCTACATGTCTTAATCTGTAGTATGTAGAAAAACGTGACTACTAGGTTGTCTCTACTGCATCCTATAGACTGCCATGACCTCCAACCTTGCTGAATGTTAGTTTTTTAGTGATTCATGTTGCCATCAATGTTGAAAGGCAGCTACTCCTGAACATGTGAAAAAAGGGGACATCAGGTCCACAGGGATACCATCAGGTATCAGAGAGCTTGTTCTAAGCAAAGGAACTACTGTAACCAAAGACATTGGTGGGGAGAAACTGGATGAAAGCCATGAGAAAATATTGAGGTTTATTACTAAAAAAAACCCCTCCACTTTCAAAGCTACGTGGATTGGAGGTCTATTATGTACCAATTTAAATACACATTAATTTATGCTTCACTGATTAGGTGTATCATAATGCATTATGATGATATTTCAATATTTGAGAAGACTTTGTCACATTTTAAAAATGTAGTTTGGAATAGTAAAGGATAGGTATAATGGGAACACTCTTACAATTTCTACAACACAAACATTTCCTAATGAGTTAAAATTCACTAAAGCAAATACATGCATGCAAGGGTTTAGTTTACACATAGATGGGATTAAGTATTTGGATAAAAGTTCAAAAACTTTTAGAAAGATCATTATTCTTTCTGTGAAATTAAATATCAGCCTGTTCTCTTCATAAATGGAAGCCTTTGTGAAAAGCCAATGAGAAACTGTTAGATGAGAATTTAGATTACGTTAAGTTAGGAAAGCTGTTTGCATTCCTAATAGCCACCAGCACCATCAAGTTCATTACTTAACAAGGGTAGTCTTGCCAGTAAAACCAAATGGCAACGCAGAAGAAATAGCTTTTAAGTCAAGAATGCTCTCTGGTAACACACTACTGTTAATGATTTTTATGTCAATGGCTACATGTAAAAGCCAGATTTTATCTGCAAGGTCAGACTATCAGATAAAGAGACTACTCCCCAGAATACAAAGGAAAAGATTACTTCATTTTAGTATTTGTAGAATTCAATTACCTATTCTGTACCTGGCAAAAATTAGTGAACTATAAAAAAAAGTATTAAAAGCATTTTCCATGAGTTTGATGATGCCATTTATGCTTCTTCTTAAGAGCCCATAAAGCAACTTTTGAAACTATGGTCTCCCATACTGAGCAACAGGGTGATGATGCTGATACATCAGCTTACTAATTAGCACATACTCTGCAACTGCAATTATGCTTTGCTTCTTTTTAAATGTCTTTGTACAATGGAAATCCCTACAGCTAGCTCTGTGATATTCTCGATATGCAGTTAAAACCCCTCATATTTATCATATTTATTAACAATGCCAGAGACAATTTGTGACAACAGTCTTTCCACAGGGTATTACTGTTAGTTCTCATTACTCAAACCTAGCTCTGTTTTGAAAATTTTTCTTGATGGGCACTAAATTTGGGAAGTTGATACCTACTGAGGAAAAATTTCATACTGTTTTAAAGGCTTGACATGGTAATAAGACACGGCAATAAAAGCTGCCCTAAACAACAAGGTACGTTAGTATTTTCCTGTTAATTTGAAACAACTAAGTTTGCCTCCCCAGAGTAGAAAAGGAGCTTTTATTGTCCTTCAGGAATTTCAGTGAAAAGTTCTCCCTTTTTCTGCCCAGCTTTGAATATGCTGCTAGGATGCCTACTCTTCTACATGCACTATAGAACCATCATCCCACTGCTCTCCCAGCTACTCCTCAGTTTGCAGGTATACTTCACAGTCACAATATTTGTTTAGGAACTTCCTTATCCTCTCACCTGAACTTCTGCCCTCCACCTGAATTGTCGCTTCACACATAGTGCTCTCTGCAATAGTCTCCTCCGGTGCACATGCCACCATTTAGGCTTTCTCATGGTTCTTTTCTTTGATTCTCTTGTCAGGTTTCCACTGTCCTTTGGAATGATGTCTGTTCTGAAGGGGTCAGGACCTTGTTTTAGTACCTGTACTTGCTTTGCACATCATTCTAAAATATAGTTGCTATAATATATCTGGAAAGGGTTAGAGGAGGTTTCCAGCAGCACAAAAACAACACAGGAAGATGATAAATCCTTTCCTCCCAGGACAAAGGGACTCTCTGACTACTCCAGTTTAAAGAAATCATTTCAGATCAGAAAGAAGACCAGACTCAGCATGTAAATTAAGGGAGAGACACACACTGGCTTCTCCTTCCCTTCAGACTTGTCTTCTGCAACTCAATTTCCACTGTACATGCAGACAAGGACAGACACCTGGATACCAGTTCTGTCCCACAACTTGTTTCCACACATGGACAGAACTTTCAGGGTACCATTCTGAAAACTCAGTGCAGCTTGTTAAAATACTCTGCCGAATCCCACAAGACATCCTGAGCATGACCCAGTACTGAATTAAAAGCAGCCTTAAGAGCCTTTTACAGGACCAACTATTGATTGCGCTTACTTGCAGAAAGTTCTTTTTTTTTTGTTACTTCTGCTGATTAAGAAGATGGAAAATAATTCAGATTTTATTATCTGCTTAAATTTTTGCACAGGAATCTTGGTAGCAAACAAAACCTGTAATAAATAGCTTTCAAGAAGGTACCGGCCAATTAAAAAAGACTGACAACCTGAGAACAAATGACAACAGAATAAAGTTATCTTCCACAGGAGACACCTGGCTTGTAAAGCTGTGCCACAAAATACACATCAATTTGGCACGTGGGCAGAAGCAGCATCTGATGGAGGCAGATAACCTATTGACTCTTCCAAAGCATCTCAAAAGTCATCCAAATACCCACCATGATTTTGAGGTGTTTTGATAGCTAGGTAATCCTCCCACAGGGAGCAACAGCAGTGACCACGGCACCATCAGGTGTTGACGTAAGCTTTTAACAAGCAGCCTTGTTTTCAGAGAACACTAAATGACATGAGTGCAACTTGTGTGAGTCAAATTTGCTGGGTTGGATTCAGTTTTGATCCTTTCAACCCCTAATCCACCCATAATAATAAGTATAAGTTTAATGCTATACCAAAACATTTCCACTTCCACACACACAGCTCAATTCACTCACTAACTGTAGCAACCCCTAATCCACCCATAATAATAAGTTTAATGCTATACCAAAACATTTCCACTTCCACACACACAGCTCAATTCACTCACTAACTGTAGCATTATTAAATCCTCACAGTTCAGTGACTTGATTAGGAATGCATTTTGGCAAATGCTCCAAGGAACAGCAGATTCCAATGCTCTCTTATAGTCTCAAGTATCAGGACAGACGTTCTTAGTTTCTCTTCATCAAGCATACATGCTAGCTACCTCTATACAGGCTCAGCTGTACTTGTGCTCCTAATGACACCCACTGGGAGCTGGAAACACATGGCCTTATCCAGTATTCCCTACAGCAAAACAAAGACATTGATTTTCCAGTTGAAGCAGTAGCAGCAGGTTACCTCAGTTTACTGCCCAGTTTCATCTTCAGCAAAACATTTGCATCTTTACAGCTATTAAACTCATCACTCCATGACATTAAATATTGCTTTATTTTTCCTTTTCGGTAGAAAGCTCTATTTCTCTAATACATAGCTTGTTGTTCTTTAGTGGTAAAATACCATCTATCAGGTGCTCAGGTAAGGAAAAGAGCTCTTCTGTTCAAGATCTATTTTATAAAACTACAGGTATGTCTGGCATGTGATTCACATACTGTCAGGGATCAAAACACAGTGGTAGACAAAGCCTTCCAAAAATGAAGGCTGCAGTTACTGCTGAACTGACTAATCACTGGCATTAAGGCAGTAAATTTAAACCCTTTAAATAAATAATGTCTTTAATATATTCTACAAGAGGGATTTTTTAAATTTTTTTTTCTCCTGATATTTTACATTGAAAAACTAACCTGGGACCAGAAATAGAGAAGAAATGCTGGAAGAGTAAATGAGATACAGCAACTGACAGAGCCTCAAGCATAATGCAGCTGTACCTGCCGAATAGCTCTTCCCAACCTGCTGGACTCTGCAAGTCTGTCAGATCAAAATTTTCCATCTTTAAGAAAGAAAAACAAAATTCCACCAGTATCCTCCATAACTTGGAAATCAGATTTTTAGCCAAGATGAGATGTGTAAACGGTTTTTGTCAATGTGAGGTTAGTTTAAAGCATTGTCATCTGCAGTTTCAGAAGATCAAATGGGATCGCAAAAAAAAACCCCAAGAAAGATTACCATCAGCCCAGAGAGTTTACAAATTGGAAAGCAAGTTGTGAGTAGAGAAGGTTATAAATAATACAGTGGTTTTTTGATTTCACACAGTGAAGAATAACCTCAATCAGATTCCTTGCCTGCAAGGAACAGAAACTCTGGCTGTGTTTTTTGACAGCCACAGATGGTAATGGACAGCCTCATCTCAGCAAGCCTCTCTGCAAATGGATTCTTCTAATATTGACCATGACCCAGCAATGGCATCTGCCAGCTCTCTCCTGACCCAAATTCCCCCACCTTGATCAGCAAATGCTGACTTAGGTCCTAGACCACTGAAAATCTATATTCAATCAGCCTTATGGAGACAGCACAGAAGTGTTTGATGGACCAAAGCGGGATTCCGAGCCTACTCACAGCACATTGTGTACTCCCCACCCTCACTCCTAGTTAACTACACGTTTTTAAACTTTCCAGTATCTAAAACATAAACTTTGAGAACAAAATAACTTCCCATGCCCAGGAGTACACACAGAATTTTCTGCTGTGTTCATTTTAGACTGTATAAGTAGTGCTTTGAGCATACTTCCAACAAGGCAGTTTTGCTTAATAAAGACCACACAATACAGCTAGCCTTGTATTCTACTCCAGCTGTGCTTTACTCATGCCTCTCTGGACCGGGAAAGACACCTGCAAATCATGATAGATTAAAGATACATTCCTTCTCAAACCACTAAGTTACGAAAATAGGTCAACAATCCACAGTAATGGTTGCAGATCTAAGCTTGCAGAAGTGCCTCCGAAGGCTGAGCAGCTCAGAAGGGGCTTCTGTTCTCCACCTGTCTTTTGCTTTTTGTCTTTTTGGATTCTAGCAACAATTCACAACCCCAGACAGGTTGAGAACCTATTGAAATGGGTCTTCTTCAGAAAAGTGCTCATCACTTACTGTGTACCAACTGGTAATAACATTTAACACCCAATAAACCTGAAGCCTTTCTGTGGAGCTCTGCCTTACAGTTCAACTCAGACTTTTC